TCCGGTGTTGCCACTGCACCAACACCAGAGGTACCTCCTTGTTCCTCAGAACCTTGATCTTACGATCCCTGATGGCTACTGGTCTCTCGGCGTAATTCAGGCTCGCATCCACCTGAATATCCTCTAATGGAACCACTACCGACTCATCGGCTATACACTTCCTCAACTGCAATACATGAAAAGTATTGTGGATCTGTCCCAACTCTGCTGGCAACTCCAACCGATAGGCTACCCGGCCTACCCTTGCAATCACACGAAATGAACCTATAAACCGGGGCCCCAACTTGCCCCTCTTCCTGAACCGGATCACTCCTTTCCAAGGAGAAACCTTCAGGAGAACGAAGTCGCCAACCTAAATTCAAGCTCGGACCGGCGTCTGTCCGCATAACTCTTTTGTCGGCTCTGGGCGGTCAATAACCTCTGCCTAACCTGCTGAATCTGCTCTGTCGTCTGAAGTATGATCTCTGTACTGCCCATCACTCTCTGTCCCACCTCTCCCCAGCAAATGGGGGTCCGACACCTCCTACCATACAACAACTCAAAAGGTGGCATACCAATGCTCGAATGATGGCTGTTGTTGTAGGAAAACTCTGCCAAGGGTAAATGCGCATCCCAGTTACCCCCGAAGTCTAACACACACGCTCGAAGCATGTCCTCCAATGTCTGAATCGTCCGCTCGCTCTGACCGTCTGTCTGGGGATGGTATACGGTACTAAAATGCAGTCTAGTACCCAGCTCCTCATGGAATTTCTTCCAGAACCTGGAAGTGAAGCGTACATCACGGTCCGAAACAATCGAGATCGGCACTCCATGCTGAGATACTACTTCCCTCACGTATATCTCCGCCAACTTCTCCGCTGATGAACTCTCGCTGATGGCAAGGAAATGTGCACTCTTCGTCAACCTATCCACAATCACCCAAATTGCATCGACTCCCCTGGCAGTTCTCGGCAATTTGGTGATGAAATCCATAGTAATCTGTTCCCACTTCCACTCAGGAATCTCCAAAGGCTGCAACTTGCCATGCGGTCTCTGGTGCTCGGCCTTAACCCTACGGCAGGTCAAACACCTCTCAACGAACCAGGCGACGTCTCTCTTCATACAAGGCCACCAGTATTCCTTCCTCAAGTCCAAATACATCTTTGTAGCACCGGGATGAATCGAAAATTTCGATCTGTGAGCCTCTTCCATCAAAGTAGCACGCGTACCGCCCACGAACGGTACCCAAATCCGGCCCTGAAACGTTAGAAGTCCTCGTCCATCCTTAACGAAATCTGAAATTAACCCAACGACTCGCTCTTTCTTCTGCATCTCGGATCTCACAGCCTCGGCCTGTGCCCCACGAATAGTATCCAATACCGGAGTCATCACCGTCAGTCTCAGATATACATCTCGCAATGGAGTGCTCTCCGCCCTGCGGCTCAATGCATCAGCTACCACATTAGCCTTGCCCGGGTGGTACAGGATTTCACAATCATAATCCTTGACCACATCCAACCACCTCCTCTGACGCATATTTAGGTTGGGCTGATCCATCAAATACTTCAAACTCTTATGGTCCGTGTATATCGTACATCGAACCCCATACAGGTAGTGACGCCAAATCTTGAGAGCGAACACTACTGCCCCCAACTCTAAATCGTGCGTAGGATATCTCACCTCATGAGGCTTTAGCTGCCTCGATGCATAAGCTATCACATGACCTCTCTGCATCAACACTGCACCCAGTCCCGAAATCGATGCATCGCAATATACGACAAAATGTTCCATCCCTTCCGGAAGAGCTAATACCGGGGCTTCGCACAGTCTCTGGTGAAGTGTCTCGAAGGAAGTCTGTTGCTCGGGTCCCCATGAGAATGCAACACCCTTCCAGGTCAATCTGGTGAGCGGCACTGCGATCTTGGAGAAGTCCCTAATAAACCTCCGATAGTACCCCGCCCACCCAAGGAAACTCCTGATCTCAGAAGGTGACTTCGGTACCTCCCAACTCATCACTGCCTCAACCTTGGCCGGATCGACCAATATCCCTGCCTGATTAATAACATGTCCAAGAAATTGGACCTCCCGCAACCAGAAGTCACATTTGGAGAACTTTGCATATAGCTTCTCCGACCTCAGTATCTCGAGGACCTCCCGCAAATGTCCCTCATGCTGCTCTCTAGATCACGAATACACTAGGATGTCGTCGATAAATACAATCACTGACCGATCCAACATCGGCCTGCATACCCTGTTCATGAGGACCATGAACACCGCCGGGGCATTGGTGAGCCCGAAAGGCATCACCACAAACTCGTAATGCCCATATCGCGTCCTAAATGCTGTCTTCTGGACGTCCTCATCCCGCACTCTTACCTGATGGTACCCTGACCTCAGATCGATCTTGGAAAACCAAGATGCCCCTTGCAACTGATCGAATAGATCATCGATCCTCGGTAACGGATAGCGGTTCTTGATCGTCACCTTGTTCAACTCCCGGTAATCAATACACATCCGGTGT